AACTTTGATACATCATCATGACCAAGCCAGAAGAATATTCTGATACGTTAATTAAAATAAAGTAATTCAGTCAATGGTAGTTAGAACTCCTCTTTTCTGCCAGGATCCTATACAAAAATAAGGAGAGGGCTAGTATGGAGTTGGCTTCATGCCAGACTGGAGCCGTTCTGTTTGGGTAACCTGAGACCCAACCCTTCCATTTCAACAATAACCTTGAAGGGAGGCCTGGGGACCTGAACAGCTGAGCACAGTCCAGGGGGTGCCTTTAAGATTCCATTCACAATAAGTTACTCCATCCTCAGAGAAAATACACCTAGACCCATGAGTTTCTTCTACCCTTGACAAGGACAAGAATAGGAGCCGGGGCAATGGATGCCATTTCTAAGTTTGGCATTTTGTTCACACAACTAATAAATAGGCATCTTTTCTTTCTTAATAGCCTAATATTAAAAAATGCTTTACTAAAGTGAGCCATACAAGTGAATTATGGAGTATGATAACGAAGTGTAAATTACTGAAGTTAGCTCACAGAAGCCATTTTGCAACAGTATCGAGCTAAACCAGGCAGCCGTATAGACTACATACAAACAAGCCTCCTCGAAATTAATATTCTGGGCTCTAGATAGGTCCCCCAAGAAAAACAGTAGATAAAAATGTGTCCTTTAAATTCTGTGAGACAACACTTTCTATCTCACCCACATACACGAAGGACTGGGCTTGTTCTCACCTTCACTTGTTTAGAAGTGTTGAGTTTGATGGCAGAAACTTTCCCCATGTGATCACCTACAAAAACTCTAAGAATAGCTGTGTCCCAACAGAGAGCTGTAACTTTTCGGCCTTTATGTTCTGAAGACACACAAATTCGTTCTGGTTTCCCACGACGCTCCTGATTCAATTCCCAAACAACCACAAGACCTTGACTGCAAGAATTGAGTCACAGAAGCAAATTTTTGACAGTGGTGAAAAAGGTACAACTTAACTACAGCACAGTATCAACTATATTAAATATACATGAAGACTTGTTCTTCAGAAAAGAGGAAGTAGAAAATCAAGGTATTAATTTCCTTGCGTTAGTTCACCAGTCCAGTATAACAGAACTTAGATGTTCTAAATTGTCTGTTACCTTTCTCTTTTAAGGCCATCGAAATGTCGTTGCCACACATTAGCATTTTCCACAAACACTAGAGTGACCAACTGTCCATCCAGGTTAGCTGTGAACTGAGAGGTTTCCCAGAACACAGGACTTTCAGTGCTAAAATTGGGAGTCCTAGGCAAATCGGGATGGCTGATGGCCCTAACAAACACACAGCTACGTTTGTCAATTTAAAATGCATTTGGAAAAGGTCAGAGAATTTTAAAACAGTTTCTCACCTGGTAGCTACAGCAACATAATCATCATCATGTAAACAACAGGCAACCTGAGAAATTGCACCTTCCTAGAACACAAAAGGAAAAATTTCAGGCAGCTTCTCAAAAATGACAGTTTTTTTTACTGTTACACCTCAAGTTTTACATTCTTCTTTTATTCCAAATGATCATTTATAATGGAGAAATTTGCATTTGTTGAAAGATACTCTGAATGGGATATGACAGGGCTACCCTTCATCTTACCTTGTGTGAAAGAAAAAGCCTGTGCTTCCAGCCTTCTTTTTGAATAAGATTGAGACCTCCTCCTGAACTGCCCAAAGCCAACCATTTCCGAGACACATGCATGCTCGTACACTAGAAACATGTAAATGGACAAGCGTGAGATCACAGGATCAAATAAGCTATCTGCTGGAAATAGGGACTGAGGGTCTGTATACCGGGTCCCTCCCCCACCCCACCTCATGCCCAGTTGGACACTGCATAATGGCACTTACGCTCTCTTTCTAGTATAGTGAAAAATCCAGAANAAAAAAAAAATGAGGAACTTACCTAAGATGCAAGAGTTTGGCAAAAGACAAAGACTGGGCGGATCCAACTGTATGATCATACTGCGGCTCTGATCTAGGAAATAAATACATCTGGTAATGACTTAATCACGACATGAAAGTATGCTTTTCCCTACACAGGAAAACGTTTGCCTCCAAAACAAACCCAAGAGACTAACTGCATCTGCCCTTATTCAATTTGCCTTAAACTATATGAAAGATAATCAGTTAAAGAGTTTTTGGTTTCGCTCAATCTTTTAATAAAAATCCTACTTCACTCTTAAGAGGTATAATAAAATCTTAAACACATATAGAGTATCAGAAATTTCAATCAAACTCCTCCATGTAAGTTCCTCAAATACTTCCTTACCAGCCATACAAATCATTACCTTAGAGTAATCACAGGAAGAGGGGGCGATGAGAGGAGTTTCTTAAACTGATGCGTACTTATAACTTCCCCATCAAAGTTCACTTCCCACATCCTGGAGCCAGGGCGAGCACAATATATTAGGGGTTGCTGGCCTGCAGAACACCTTCCAGAGAAGAAGCACGCTCCATATTCTCCATCTCTTTCCTTGTTTCCAATTTTCCAAAATTTTTCTCTAATACCCAGAAAGGAAGAGAAAGCATGGTTACCTACAAAAAAGCCAAAAACAATGGCACTACACATCAGCATGGCCATAATATCCACCCACAATGTCCTCTCTCTACTATATTAGCGGTATACTGGAAAGAACAACAGAATAGTAAGGTCAGGAAAGGGTTCTAGCTCTGATTTGCCATTAACTTTCTGTGACAGGAAGCAAACCTCTTCACATCAGTTTATTATCCACAGAATACGAGGCTCAGAATTCCTGTGAAGGCCCCTTTCAAATCTAAAAAATGAGTGCTACCAATCCATTCCATACAGCTGTCACTCCTACTGATTGCTTCCCAAATCACCTTGTTCTTTGGCCACTCCATGGACGTTACTGATCTACCTCTCCAACCCTGTCTCCAAGCCACTCCCCTGCCACAAACACCCAATAAACTCCTTACTCTTTCTTCAAAATGCTAAGTCCTTCTGGAACATTCTGTTGCCCTATGATTACATGAGCTAGATTGACACCATACTGCCTGGGAACATGGCAGGTGATAATGATGAGGATGTGTCTTCCTATAAAAACAATTACTCATTGTTCATGACTTAGCTCCATCACTCTTCCTCTGAGATTTCCCTGACTTGCATATGCTGAATTACATGCTTTCCATGTTGTTTTCCTAGCACTTACGGGTTGTCAGAAGTCATGACATATTTTGGATTTTTTTCTGTTTTTCGTTGCAAAAATGTGTCATGACTTTTCCGACAACCCAATACATTACATATGGCAACTGTGTCCACCTGAACACTAGATTATGACTATCTTCAAGACAAAGGCCATTTCTTNGTTTCTTTCTTTTTATGTTTTTACAACGTAGAAAATTCAAGATACACTCTCTGAACAACAACGCTAAAAAAGCTAGATTTCTTCCATTCCTGGTTTTAATCAAAAGAATAGAGATTACAGCATAGACAATATAGTCAATAATGTTGCAACAAATATGTATAGTGCCAGCTGGGTACTAGGCTAATTAATCAGGAGGATCACTGCATAAATTATATAAATGTCTAACCAGTATGCTATACACCTGAAACTAATATAAAATAATATTCAATGTCAGTTGTAACTAAAAAATGAAACAATTTTTTTTAAAAAGAATACAGAGATTGATTTTTCTGTCTCAGCCATATACAATGGCCACTGTTCTCACAAGGCCTTTTTGAACACCAAACTACTGAGACACAAAACAGGAGTTAAAACAAAACTTCTAACAGGGGTAAAAGTTCAGGATAAGTAGAGGGAAAAAATTAACCCATTCAATCCTTAGCAGTGGTTATTAATACTTAAGAATAAATAAAACTGCATTTAAAAGTTAAAAAGGCATGAAAAACTAAATAACTGAACATAAATTAACAAACGTATGCTTGTGAAGTACTTTACAATGGGAAACACCTATGACGTTAATCTTTACAAGAAATGTCATCTCGTTTTATTTTTCTCCTTCTTACACAAGAGAATCCTCCTATAATAATTCTTTCACAAGCATGAGATTAAAAATTACATAACGAAAATATAATTACCTTTGACTTCACTCCAAAGAAGAACCTGAACATTCTGAGGAATGAAAATATAAATTCCTCTTTCTGTCCAAGTCAACACACAATGTTCACTGCGAGAGAAAATGGAAGGAGTCAAGAGAATAATAGCTTGCTCAGATACAGAAGTTTATGACATAATTCCCTGAATTCAGACTAGTAAAGAAAAATCAGCCTGTACAAAAAAACACAACAGTGATCTAGCTACTCAAGTCCTAAAACCTCTTTTCTGTCTATATCAACAGCCCACTAAAAAAATAGCAGAATATGATGCCGACTTAGGAAAAATTCAGGTATATATATACACTAAGTACCTTCTAGAAAAAGAAAAGACTGGTAGTAGGAAAAACTCAGGTATATACACTAAATATCTTCTACAAAAAGAAAAGACTGGTGGTATCTTTCCTCATGTTTGTTAAAGATGCTAAACTCCCTATACGTAGTATGACAGGGTACATTTAAAACAAAGACTAAACATAACACCTCACCACCAATCACTGCTGTAGGGACTCACTTTTAGGGGACGATAAAAGGTTGAAAACTCCCAGTCAGCTATGTGCCAGGAGTTTTATTAAAGACTATATCATCTAACCTTGTAGCCACTCATCAAGATAGATGTGTTATCCCTATTTAATTAAAAAAAAAAATCTAAGCTCAGAGACATGAAAAAATACACTCAAGGCCATTCAGCATGAATGCAAAAGAGTCAGAATTTATACTCAGGAGCACCTGGCTCCAAGACCTAGCCTTTTCTCCCTCTAGGCCTCACAGAATCTACTTCTTCCCTCATTTATCCTCACTGAGCCACCCACAGTTATCTGGAATCCTGATTACTCCATTTAACTGTATTCTCAAAAAGCTGTCGATTTCCTAACTGCCAAACCCAATAACCCTTCCTCATGTCCCTTCTGGATCCCCAGTGATCCCCAAGCAGGGGCCAAACCGTGCTGGCTGCTCCTGCCTTCCTGAACCTCACTCCCTGGACTCTGGGACACTGCACTTTCTCGGTCCGCCTTCCTTTCCGGTGCTCTGGTACGCTCCGTCTCTGTTCATCTTCTCTACCCCTTTGTTCATGTATCTCATTGGCTCTCTCAAGGCCGCTACTATTTTTTTTATATTCCACTGGTAATCTCTGCTTCTTGCCCCTCATCAGGGCATCCCCCCAATTTATAATGTTCTCATTCTAGCCACCTCTCAAGGATCCACAGAAGTCATACTTCCCTCTGAAATCCTTCTCTGATGGCGCCCAGCAATCGCTTGTCCTCCTGCACTCAACCTATCTCTTGTCAACCATGCTCATATGGCCCTTAACCATGTACTGCACTGTCACAACTCCTTTTATTTTTTTTTAGCTGAGCCATCCTGCCACCTGTTGGCAGCTCAGCTCAGGCCGGGACTCGAACCACTGTTGCTCAGAGCTTGCACTCTTGAGCAAGCTCTTAAACAACTGAGCCACTCGGCCGGTCCCACAACTCTTATTTTTTATTGTTGGTAAACTTTTTGTAGAAATAAACAGCACTTCTCCAACAAATTATCATCTTGAGAATACGGACCTTTTTTTTTCTTTATGACCCCAAGAGAACTAAAAATGGTACCATGTGGCTATGAAACTAAGAGCGATATTTAACAGGAATTGCGTCCTCACATGAATAGTAAACATTCTGCCATATAAGACCAGGTCACTGTCCTTATAGAAAAGTAATCTTTGTCACACAGATGGAAGAAATGGTCAGAATCCGAGTCCAAAGTAAGTAAAACTGTAAGGCTGCCTTCAGGAGACAAAGAAGAAAAATGAGAGGCCAAAGGATCCCTGAGTAAAAAGATACAGGATCATGATTTTGATACTGAACTTGATATTCGGCTTGGAAAGATTCCTTAGGAATAGCAACCTAGATTAGATTGGGGGCGGGGGATAGATAAGAGCTGATACTTTGTAATTTATACATCCCTCACCCCCTTATCCCTTCACTGATAATAAACAGACTGGGACACAAACCTAACAGCACTGTATAAAAAGTCAAAGAAGGGAAGGTGATACTAGTGTCCCCAAGAGGAAACAAAGTATGTAAGTTTGAGGATTTGTGGGTGTAACAGTAGATGTTACCACAAGACACAAGTGTACAGGAGGGGAAAAATAAACAGAAATAGAAAGCCTTCTTACTCGTGGTTTTTCAAAACAATCTTTGTTGAATAATTGCGCTATATGGGAGAGAGCCTCCTATGTGCTGAGCACTGTGCTCACAGTAAAGGAGTTGACAATCTGGTGCTGGGATGGATATTCACAGTACAGTGAAATAGGGGTGATGATGAAGGAATGAACAAGGTGTGACAACGGGAATAAGTGGGTAATCTAAACCCACTGGAGAAGTCGGCAAAGGCCACAAAGTGGCATTAATTACTGCTTATGCCGAGGAGTAGGCAGAGCCGGTCATGAAGGGCTTTGCTTGTTGTGGCAGCAACTGTAAAGGAAGCTTTAAATAGCTAACCTCAAAGGAATAACTCTACCAGGAGAACCAAGCGGACTGTGGCCTCGCCATTAGAAAACACACTCTCGGGTAAGGCTTCCCCACACCCCACATATCACACCATAGTCCACAAATATTTATTAAGTGTCTATATATGCCAGGGGCTGAGAATAAAATAGTGAACAAAACAGACATGGAGCCCTCACAGAGTTTGCTCTCTAGGAATAAGAGAGGCATAAATATTGCATGAATATGTAATTATAAACTGTGGTAAGTGCCGTAAAGAAAGAGTTTTT